TTATTCAACTCCTTTCTTCCAATAAAACATACCCCACCATCAAACCATTCATATACTATACATTCTTCCCAATAAAAATAATAATTCGTCCTCCATTTCTTTATCTTATCAAACCTTCATTTTCACTTATCCATAATACAATTTCCTTGGTTTGCATTCAAACATTCTATTTACCTTTGTCTTATAAACTGATTACTGATGCACATATTTTCCAATTTTCCCAACATAATAGTATCCATCACTTATTCTTTTAATATTCCCCTAATAACACCCATTCCTTATACCTTATCTTGTCACTGAAGTAAAGAAACTACTTTATTTCAGAACGATAAAGATCCTCTAATTCTACAATTTCCAATCTTACTTCAAATCATTTGAATAGTAATTCCATTAATTTAACAGGGAATTCAATTCTCTAAATTCTAATGGAACATTCTCAATATATCTTATTTATCCCAACACTGTACCCTAATAAATTTGTCACTTCCACATCACTATAAATAACTTCTAATTGAATTCTCAATTCTCACATCAATTAACTACTAATATATAAATATGCAAGTCCAGATCAATCAATATCATAACATATCTATTACATAATAAAAAGTACCTGTTATAATATCTGGATCATCAAAATCTTCATTAGTATTCATATTATACACTCGAGCAGTGGAGCGTATTTCTTATTGAGTAGAGGATTCAGGTTGACTTCTACCTCTTCCTCTACCTCTTCTCCTCTAAGACATCGAAGCAGATCGCTCCGACTGTACTGGTTCTCCTGTCCCCAATGGACAATCTCTTATGAAATGTCCCACTTCACCACATCGAAAACAAGCTCCAGTAACTACCCTACACGTTCCGCTATGGCTTCTTCCACAAATTTCACATTGTCTAATTTGACTCTGCTGTGCTCATCCATCACCAGACCCTACAGATTGAGTCTATCTAGCTCTCATCTGATTTGATTCCCTTGCAACGGATGCCATCGACTCTGATTGTGCTTGAGATCGGAAATCAAAATCTCTACTTCTCTTAGGTGGTGCAAAACTTGATGAAGCCCCAGTTCTTTTAGATGGTTGGGTTCTTTTATTCCCAAACCTTTCATTTTGAGCTCTCTTTAAGGCTTTAGCATGATTTACTACCTCTTGCAACGAGGATAAGTTCAACACTATCATCATCTCTTTTAAACTTGGGCGTAAGCCATCAACAAACCACTCGCAAGCCTCTTTCTCTGTAGGCACTAACTCTGCTGCAAAGCGACTTAATTTATTAAATTCGCACTCATACTCATATACAGTGCGGTCCAATTGCTTCAAGTTCAAAAATTCTTGTTTCATTTTCCTGATAAACTGGTCTCCTATATATTTGTTTTTGAACTCTTTTAAGAACAAGGACCAGGTCACTTCATCACTTGTCATTCTCAGAGTGAGTTTGTCCACCAAACTCTCGCTTGCCCACGAAGCAAGGAAATCACTCCATCTAACTTCTCTACATTAGAACAGTGGAGACCATCTAACATAATTTTTACATCATTAAGCCAAAGGTCTGCAAAAACAAGACCTTCCTCAGCTTAACCTTTAAACTATGGAGCTCCTAAACCCTTCAACTCCTTTGTAACATTCTTCAACTCCTTTGCAATATTCATTCTCGGAGTTGAAGTAGCAGGAGGTTGGAAACGTGTCAATACCGCATTTAATGTTCTAAAGAACACATCTTGATCAGTTACAAGCACTCCAGAAGGTGCCTGTTCTTCACCTTGCCTGGCCAGGACAGGTGAATTACTACTTTCAGCGGGCCTATCATCTCCCGCTTCACTTCTAGAGCTACCATGTCCGGACATCTATAAGAACATAATCATATTGTTCTATTAGCAAAACAACATACTTACTATTATATCAGATCATAAGTTTTCACTATTTTGTTGGCATGAATACTTTATAAGACACTCTAGACTCTAGTTTATGCCGAGAATCGACTAAACCGTAGCTCTGATACCATTAAATATAACACTCTCAACCCGTACCCGACCCGGATACGAGTCCGAGATGTCACATTGACTTTTCAAACTTTGACTATTGACGAAAAACCAAGGAAATTTAAAACTTTCATTAAAATAACATTGTTACTTTACACAAGTTAACCAAAACAAGAATAAACTGATCAGAACATTTGTAACATACACTTTTCTTACATGCCAACCATATACACGACAAAAGACATACTTTATCCGTTACTTCTGATCTGATCTTCTAACAGTGATGCTGTTCTTGCAACCCTATTTCCACTCTTCCTGATTCTTTATACCTACGTGTAAATCACTTACACGCTAAGTCATAGACTTAGTGAGACATATAAATATAACAATAATGCATTCAGTATGAATATGAACATGCAATCTATCCATTCAATCCTGTCGAATACAATTCAATGTAAACAATAATAATATGATAACATATAACTATAACAATGTAATTACCTTTGATAACCTTTTATAGGCCCATGTATATTTTTGAGAACTCAAGGTATTCGAGTACATTGAGGTTGTGCACTATGCTGTCACCACAGCTCGTATGGGTCCCACTAGGGGCTATGAAATTTGTCCCGAAGAACCTATGACTGTATTTGTCCCGAAGGACCACTCCTTAAGAACCATATACATATTCTCGTGGATCAGATCTGTCTCAAAAGACACTGTAAATGTTCCAAATGATACATATACGTCCCCAAGGACCACGTAGAACCCTCGACTCTTGGCATACTAACTATACCTATAGCTCTCATATCGTATACCATGGGCATTATTCTTATGTTTCATGTGTTCATGTGTTCATGTCATTTCTCTTGTGATCACATAGCTCATATCACTTATCATATCACATGTGCATTTGGGTCTTTTCACATATATCATTTATCAAATCATATGAACATATATACTTTATGCATGTATCATAATAATTATCATGTATGCATGTTCATAACTATTGTGCTATGAAAATCAACATATGAATTAGACTTATCACAAGTCTTATTCCATTGTATCATACTTCTAATATGTACTCACCTTAGCCTTGCTTGACTCGATTCTAATCCTTCAATTATTCCGGAACGAGACCACGTTCTAAATCTACATATTAATACATTGATACATATCAGTATACTAATTGATATATTATAAACTATCATTCCTTAGGCTAATAAGAAAGCTATTTTTATCTTTTAATGAAGGCATGCATCGATGCACTACACCATGCATCGATACATCCCTTGACAGGTGCATCGATGCACTATTCATGCATCGGTGCATAAATCATATTCGATGTTTGTATTTTAAGCAGGTGCATCGATGCACTCCTTATGCATCGATGCATTGATTGCATTCGATGTTCATTTATTTGAGAGTGCATCGATGCAAATTGAAGATGCATCGATGCACACAACCCAAAATTTATATTTTAAGCACGAATTCACTCTCTTTCTGCTTAATTCTTCATCTTTCACCTCCTTTAATATTCCTAACTTTCATATACATACTTAAACTCACTTCTACTCCATAATCACTTCTTTAAACTCAAAATTCTATCTTCCATATGAAATCCAAGAATCATACTAAATTTTCTACTTGTTCTAAATTCAATTCCATCACTTCATATCCCTTAATTAAGTGGATGACAAGTCAAATTTGTCTTCCAATATGAGTAATGAACTCTATTCCAAGATTTCATTCAAGAACTCAAAATCTTTAATCTCTCATATATCTTTCATCTTGTTGTTTAAGAACAAATTAAACTTTCCTTAAGCTTAATTATCATCTACTGATCATAACCCAACCTTTAAATCAACCAATAATCAAGAAATCACAAACTTACCTTTGAGCTTGGAGATACGGGAGGAAGAAGAAGAAGAAGAGAGTTTCCCAGATAACTCTTTCTTTTCCCCCACGTGTTTCATTCTTATAAAAGGGGAAAATATCTTTCTTATCAAATGACCAATTTTCCATTTAATTCATTCAATTACCAAACAACCTTCAACTATATTTCCAATAAGTCATTAAACTATTAAACTATTTTACTTTTATCACCAAATTTCAAAAATTCTCATTTTTGTCACTGACTCGGATTTCGGGATGTTACAGCAATGGTATTGAAGCTAAGCAGCCAAACTCTGCTATCCGAAAGTGTGCTAGAGTTCAACTGATCAAGAACGGAAAGAAGATTGCCGCATTCGTTCCAAATGATGGTTGCTTAAACTACATCGAAGAGAATGTTAGTATCCGACTGAAAGCTGTACAATATTGTTAATCATATAAGCATGTTAGGTATGTCATTGGTTTGACCATAATGTATTCGGTGTAGGATGAGGTGTTGATTGCCGGATTTGGAAGAAAGGGTCATGCAGTGGGTGATATCCCCGGGGTTAGGTTCAAGGTCGTGAAGGTCTCGGGTGTTTCGCTCTTGGCACTCTTCAAAGAGATTTTTATTAAATTCGAATTAAGAAGAATATTTCTGCTTCAAAGCTTTTGTCGACAAATCTTTTTGTTTAATAGTCTGGTTAGTGTGCTGAATTTTTCTTCAAGCATTTTATTTATTTATTTTGAAAGAACCTCCTATGCAATTTCTTTTCCAAACATAGGGGAAGAATTCTTCTTTCCCTCATCTTTTACCCACTCCAAACATGATGTAAAAGAAAAATCAAATTAAAAGTATCTAATGTTTTGAATCCCCGTAAATAATAATTAAAATATTTAAATTCAAATGTTATCTAAACTCACAAAATGTAAATTAAATATTAAAATACACTCTATCTGTTCATGCCCAAACTTAACACTTATTTTATCTGTATTTGATATGTATATGTAATAGATGGTGTGCGACCTTTTCAGTATGAACAAAGTAATTTTGCAAGATTCCGAGAGCTAGAAATTCCACAACAAAGCAAATTTGCAGACATGATTCATGAACTTTGTTTGCCACAAAAATATAAACTGAGAACTTCAAGTTCAGCCCTGAATAACTCTCTCATAAGACACTACCTACACGAAATAAAACTTCAGATTCTAACTTAGTGAAATTCGAACCAGGTACCAGCTTATCTCCATGACAAATATCATATCCAAACCTGGTGGAATTCGAACATGAGAACTATTTCTCCTGAATTACAGAAGTTTATCATCGAATCTACAAGACTTGTATCAAAATAGTTCCAAATAAGAATAACTGGAAGAGGCACATACATACCAACGTTACTTGAAAGAATCTGAAGCTAGGCAGCTGCACTTAGCTATTATTCTCAGGAAATGTACTATCTAATGTGGTTGTCTTCTCGGTTGCCGCCGATCCTGATAACACATCGTGTGGTGCATCTGTATTGTAAAAAGAATCCTTGACCAATAAAGGTATCCTTGAGCCACAAGTAACTTCAGAAGTCATCGGGGATGGACTGGGATTTGACAAACTGTTCTCAAACTCAGCTTTAGGATCTTTCCTAACAGCGCCTATTTGGTCTTCAACAGGAGTTTCTTCCTTCTTGTTGGCATCATAAAGGAAAACCGTTTCAGTCTTGGGGTATGGATAACTGTATGTCTCATTTTCAGCTGCTTCTTTTGATGCAATTGTGTTTTGAACATCCAACTTGGAAGCTATATTAGAAGTTGTTTCAAGTACTCCATCAAGAGGAACAATCTTGGCATCCTTTATGCGAGCACCTTCCTTGCTTTCCTGGCCTGCTACTTTCTCAGCAGAACCAATACCATTTCTAGGAGAGGATTTATTCTGAAGTTTCGGAGATATGCCAGGGCTGGTTTTGAGGTTTCTTGAAGAACTTGATACCGTTGTTCCAGCAATTGAAGATTTCTGAATAGAGATGGAAGAACTCGATTTTATAGCAGAGGAAGTTTGCTTAACATCAACCTTGGGGCTTCGAATTGCAGTAAGAGTCCTAACAGGTTGAAGCTTTCCAATCTTTGCCTTCTTTGAGTTTACACTTGGACTAGTGGTTTTTGCTCCAATTTTAGGCAAGCCGCTAGGTACACCAGGATGAGTCAACATACTCCCATTTGGAGTGCGTCCCGATGATCGGACCTGCATTTATCATGATTTCACACAGGTCAAACAATTTGACCAACAAAACAAGCTAGAGTATAAATGAATACAAGGAGGTGGAGTTTATGTATTGATCATTTAGATTTCATAATTGAATAGGCATAAACTAGTTATATACTCTTTTATGCAAAAGATCAAGATTCTAAAATGAAGATTTCTGTCTGGTTGTTCTTCGAAACAGTTGAAGTAGAAACCAATTTTGATACGGTATAAGAATGTAGAGGAATTCAAGAAATAAGAACTAACCCCATCAAAGAACCCAAGTTTTGGTGACGGCATGCGGAGGCCGGAGGGTTTCATTGAAGCTGGATGATGAAGTTTACTAGTTCCAGGAGAAACTTTGTTTTCACTTTCATTGGGCAAGCCAGTAACCTCTGCGCCATCTCCCTGTGAGAACTCACCAGTAGGATGGTTCTGCAAGTCCAAAACTTGGTGAGCATCGCTATTTATAGCAGGTCCCTTGCGGGAGCCAGAGCCAAGGCTAGCTCTTGCAACATTAGAACTTTGATTAGCAGCAGAGATAGATGATGATGACTCTGAAGACCATTCACTTATAGAGCTTGCTGGAGATATACTGGAAGATATCTTGGTAGAAGACTTCAAAAAGGTTGGGAGCTTTGAACTGCCTGCTTGAACTTTACTTTTTGGTACAATTTTGGGGCCATTTTTAGGTTTAATCAAATTCAAGGAAGATTTATTAGTTCTGTTGGACGAAACACTGACACAACTTTCAAGTGAGGAACAAGAAGAATTCAGCTCCGTTTTGCTAGAGGATGGGGAGCAAGAAGAAGATTTGGAAGATGGTTTAGGCCTAGGCACAATGCTTCTTGCACCACCCAAAGGAGTTTTTAATACTGTAGTTCCTCTACCTGCAATCATTACAATTAGTTGGAGATTGAATTAAGAAGAAAAAGTGAGCAAGAAAACATCCTCTTTCTTGATGAAGTTAATTTATAAAAATAGTAGTTTGAATTACCAGTTACAGTTTTTATATCTTTTTCCATTCTGACATTCTTAGCACCCAAGGAAACCTTTTTTGGTGAAGGACCAACGCTGCTTAACACCTTTGGTGGCTTATGAAGAGATGAAGTTGATTCTCCACCCCTAGCCACTGACTTCATAGTCTTAATGTTTATATAACCAAAAAGTAAAGAAATCAGTCTTCAATGGTAGTAAATAGCAGTTATATGGTTGCATGTTTAGCAGCTGCAATAAGTGCATATTTACAAGCTTATTGCATGGTTTCGTATGAACTTGTATAACACAAACAAGACGGTTAATTTACCTAAATATATAGATTCAGAACTTTATAATTTACCTACAACACCCTATATTGTTGAGTAATATTATCTCTATCTTAAATAGAAAAGAAGATACAACAAACAGTTCATTTGCATGATATTAGCCATACATACTTGTGAAATTTGTGGACGGACAACCTGCTTCAATGTTTTTGCAGAGTCTTTCACGCCAATGTTGGGCTTCCTTGGAGTAACTTTCTGCTTCATCTGAATTTTTTAAAATGTTAGTGGAAAGAAACACAATAAACTAATTAGTAACGAAAATTTACTGCAGCTGACATTTCTTAGTGTACCTTATCTTGAGTAGCAAGTTCTACCTTTTTTGAAGCTGCGAATAAAAAGAGAACATGACCATCAGTTTGAGAATAATTTGTGCCACAAACACATATCTAGAACGTTAAGTTGATCTTTGGACTTGAGTACAATTTATGTATGTAAGTTATATTTGTGGCATCAATGAAAAATGATTGGGTGCATCAGCAATAAAACAATGCAGAGACAAACGGGAAACATACTATCCTTACATGAGACAGTTTTACCATCTGTTGTTTTCAACTCCTTTTTGCCACTAGATTTTGCTGTAACAGAAACTTTGTTAGATTTCTGGATTGAAGCTCTTACATCCTCAAATAAATCAGCCTCTAGACTTTCCAATGTCAAAGTTTCAGAATCCAGCGTTGTTAATGAATCAAAAGACTTGTTTACATCCTCTTGAATCGCAGGCAATGCTTGTATTTGATCTTTCTCATTGCCTCCCAGCATGCTAGATAACTCCTCCGGCTCCAGAAATCCTAAAAAACAGAGTACAAAGCGTTATCAAAAACCAAAAATTTAGAATCATAAATGGTCAAATGCAAGTAAAATCAACGAAGGTGTACCTTCACTAGTAAAGAAAGCACTATCCCATGCTAAACTTTTGCGCAAATTATATTTTCCATTTTTACTTGTCTTGTTTTGTACTGGAGACTTCAAAGGTTCTTTTGTTTTTTCAGCTTCGTCATGGGAGCCTGATGAGATTTCAACGGTCTCGGAATCCATGGCGAACCTAACAGTTTTGGTTTCACTTCCCGTCTCTGTACAATATAAAATCCAATTTTCATGATAAAAAGCCAAAAAAATTGCAACATTGAAATAAGATTAAAAGTCAAATTTAACACCAAAACAATTAAATTAAAAAGTTCTGTCATTCTTGTCAATCGATGATAGAACTGGTCTTGCTTGTCACAGTTTACTTACTATCAGACTATGTTCATTGAGTTCAGTGATGATTTGTTTCCGAAGTTGATATGATTACATGGGTGTACTCGCAGCAAATTTTGATGAAAAATTCTAACATGTCAAATTGAACACACACAAAAAAAATCAAAATCAAAATATGTTGTCATCCTTGTCAATCGTTGATAGAGCTGGTCTTGCCTGCCACGATTTACTTACTACCAGACTAGCTGGTCTTGCCTGTCACAATTTACTTACTACCAGACTATATTTATCGAATTCAATTATGATTTTTTTCTCAAGTTAATATGATTACATGGGTGTACTCGCAGCAAATTTTGGTGAAAAATTCTAATATGTAAACAGTATACTAAAATTTTAAAAACAAAAAAATAAAGACATTTTAAGACGCCGGCGCGTAAATTATCTAATGCATATAAGAAAGTGCGTCCAAAAATCCAAGAGGAATCCAATATTAGTGAGCGTAAAACCAAGCTAAAGTAACGAGAAAATGCGTTCAGTAAACGAAAAGAAGTTTGAGGGGAAGCTTAACCTCTACTACTTCATTTACCTAATTATTGGTAATAACTAATAAATTGGCCAAAAATTTTCAACATGATACTTAAATCAAGCAAATCTAACTAATTGGAACGGGGGAAATCCCAACTTAAATCAAGCAAATCTAACTAATTGGAACGGGGGAAATCCCAGAAAAGTGAATTAAATTTCATGCAAACCTGAGGATTGAGGAATAATAGGATCGCAGAGAGGCGAATGGACGAGGCGATCGTCTTCGGAGGAAACATCTACGAGGCTTAGTCCTTTGATATTGAAATCGCTTTGCTTCTCAGAATCAACCATTTGTATAGAGAGATTATTATCAGATGGACTCAAAGCTTAATGAGTTTATTGAAATGAAATGAAAAGCAAGACTACTGACAGCCACATGGAAATCAATAAAGTAGAAGCGAAAAAATTTGAATTTGGGAGAGGAGGCGCTTCAAAATTAAATTAATATATAAAATATTTGAAAATATGAGCGTCTGACAACTGTCACCCACGTCCATGTGTGCTGTGATCGGGTTATTTGGACCGTTGGATTAGGCCTCGGCCAACGGTTGTCGGGGTTATATTAAATGTATGCAGGATTAGGCCTCGGCCAACGGGTTATTAAATGAATTATTAGCAATTCATTTTCGTTTATTTTGATGTGGTAAATTTAGATTTTAAAGTTTTAGAATTAGTTTTAATTTTTTTTGTTATTTCAAATTTGATTGCTTTGAATTTAAATTATTTTTAATTTTTATCAAATATTTTTTTGAGTCAAACCATTTAAGATTTTGTCATTTAGATTTAACACTAAAATTTGAACGTAAATTTAACTTTTTCAGTTTTTGTAAAAGAACCTTATAAACTTCTCTTGGGTACGTACAAAGTTAAACTGCCACTGCTAATGCTAAATACATAGTAAGAATTAGATTCCAAAAAATCAATCCCAACTATAACAACATAAATATGCTTATTTAAAAAATAATTAAAAAATAATGTATATATATATATATAACCAAACTTTTTTACATCAAATTCGAATTAAAGTACACAAATAATCGCTCGACTATAGAATGTTATTTTGTTAAGTCTCTTGACTATCAAAAGTTATAAAATAATCATTCGGTTACAGAGTATTGTTTTGTTAAGTCCCTCAATTATTAAAAAGTTGTAAAATGGTCATCTAACTATTTATATGTTCTAAACTCGTCATTTTCTATTAAAAAAATTAGAGGTCTTCCGAGCTAGATGTTAACTTGTTGACTGTGTTATTATAAAATCTGATCTCATAACTGTTTGAGTTATATTTTGTGAAATGACTCTATGTTGTCGAGCGAGTGCTTGAAACATTATGTTGTCGAGCCATTGCTCAATGTCAATAGGTATCATTAAAATATGAATTTATCATATCTCATTCAGGAGGTTAGCGTTCAGCTCAGACAATCATAAATTTTTTAACGAAAAATGATGAATTTGAAACATATGAAAAATGGAGTGATCATTTTGTAAATTTTAATAGTTATTGGATTTGACAAAGTAATACTCTAGAATCGGAGATTATTTGTGTACTTTAGCCATTTTAGTTTCACCAGCATGATTTACTTGTCAGATGATAAGCGATAAGGTGATGATGAGAAGGAGCTGCTACCTTCAGTTCTCATGATTACAAACCCAACGGGGCTTCAAAATATGTATTCCAGCTGCTGGAAATATGCACATCTTTTACTTGAAAAGCTGTTGCAATTTGAAGAAATCCATACTCAAATTTTACATTAAAATTATGGGTGGGGTGTAAGTAAGCCAAATCGAGCTCAACAATACTCGAAAATTTTAAACGTAAGCTCGACTTGACTCAAAAACTCACGAGTTAAAAATTATGAAGCTCAGCTCGAACTCGAAATATATTATTGAAACTCGACTCGAACTCGAAAAGAGTAGAACTCAAAAAAAATTCAAGAGCTTGATTGAAGCTCGAGACTTGAGCTCGATTCAAACTCGAACTCAAACTCGAATTTGAAACTACAAAAATCTTATATTACATTTAAAATATATAAATAATTTTTCCTTTAATCAACCATCACCAATACATTATAATATGAATGTATGAACTATAAAAAATCTAAAAAATAAAAATACAATTACAAGAAATTTAGGATAATTAATATAAGCTTTGAAGTTTTTTAATAATAATTATTAGTATTATTATTACTCATGTTTATTATATTAACATATGGTGTAAATCCACCAGGAGGAAGCCTGAGACAGTGCGCCACCCCCGTGAACCCATCGAGGAAGACTCATGCTGGTCGGCCATCCATCGAAACCAATGTTGTTGTCGCCCATGCTGGCCATGCTCGAATTCATGCCCTGCAGACACACAAAACAATGGAGAGAGCACTAAGCACAACAAGAAGATAGAGAGAAAATATCAAGGATATAGTTTTGACTGCAAATAAATAATAGAATAGTTTGGATATAACAAGAAGATGCCTCAATCATAAGTCCTGATGGAAACATGAAAAACACTATCTCTCCTACAATATTTTCCTGGTTATGGAAGAGTGCAGCCATACTGTTTTCCCATTTTCCTTTTTTAGCAGTACCTACAAAAGAACATTGATTAAGAGTATATTTAAAGACAAAATACCAAACAAACGTGCAAAAAAAATCTAATATGTTATTTAGAATTCAAGAGCACAACTGTTGAACAAAGCTTGATTCAAAAAGAGAAAAACGGGAGGAAAGATAACGGGTTCAAAATCAAATGTAGCAAAAATTACACACTTTATGTAAACTTTTGCATTAACAAAAAGTGAAACAAATATGTAATGAATAAATTACTTACATCTCAACTTTATCATTAACTGCCTGGAAAGTATAAAGGAAAATCATGATGCATTCTGCATTGCATCTAAAAGCAAACTTTTCTTATTGACCTAAAACGTCAAAAGCGAGATATACCAGCCTGCGGTTTCTTCCATCAGTGAATGATATGAAAATATTACACGGCGGCTTGAAAGCTCCAACTAGGCAATTCTACAAGGAAACAAATACATAAACAAGCTTTTCACTTAACGATCATTGAGAAAGTAAAAAGAAATAAAGAAGCAATTTCCTAAGAAATTGATAGTTTAATACCATGACGCTTCAATGAGCCCTGAATCAAGACTTTTTCTCAGCATTAAGGACCTAGAAGTAGTAACATAAATCATTGAAAATTTGAAATCGATTTACAAAATGTTTTACAAATTTAGACAGAAAAAAATGGACAAAAATTAAAGTTCTAATCAGATTCAAAATTTGACCATGTTCTTACCTTCCCTGGGGAAGCCTTAGGACCGAAATCAGATCATAAAAATGAGGAAAGTGTAGGGGGAAAATACCTTAGCTAGGGATCTAAGAGAAGAGGAAGGGTTGACTATTGAATGGAGATCATCTGAGCTTTAGGAACATTTGGCTGTGTCGTGTTCCATAGCTTTAGATCGGGGTAAATAAAAAGAATGAGTTAGAATATAACCAAGTGCTTGGTAGTGTATGGGTTAAGATTAGAGACTTACCAGTTAAGATTAGAGACTTACCAGTTGAGTCCCGTGGTGGTCGGAGTTGGATTTGGCCACCCGCATGTAGTGGCCGATGTAGAAAGCTTTCGAGCTTTCTCGGTCGCCGAGAGAGATGAGGATAGTAGGGAAATAAAGTGATTTATTTGGGTAGTTCGAAACCTAAAGGGTAGAAGTTTTCGATTTGGTTTACCCTATTGTATTAGGGTCTTCGCCGGAGAAGAAAATGACCATCATGTTGGGAGTGGCGTCGCGTGTGTGTGAGAGGGAGAGATGAGATTGAGAGAGTTCTCGAGAGAGGCTATTGGAGAATAAAGGGGTTGTGCGGCTGTGTTTGGTATTTTTGTGTGCGCGAGTTTAGTTTAGGTTTCATATTAATTTTTTGGTAAATTAAGTTATAGTCCCCCAAACTTGAGCACCCTTTTGTAAATCCCTAATTTAATTCTTGATTTGTATGTTGAATTTTACATTTATTTAATTTTAGTCATTAGTTTAATATGTATATGCATGTTTAATAAATTTATAGTTTGGTATGTTATATTTTAATTTTTGTATTTCAATCACATTTGTTTAAATTTTCTTATTTGTTTTAAATGTTCAAGTGTCATTTATGTTATTTTTCATATTATTTTAGCTTAAACAGAATAGGATCAATTGCATATAAGACCCTATAGTTTATGCGCATTTTGTATTTAAGTCATTGGTTTAATTCCAATTTTGTAAGTTTAATTTTACATTTACGTAAATTTAATCATCATTCTAAAGTTAGTATATTTAGCTTAAATTAGTCCTCACATTTAGATTTCTCTTAATTTAGTCCCTATTTAGGATTGTTTTCTTTAATTAGTTGTGTATATTTATTTTGCATGTTGCTATGTTTATGTATAAGTATGTGATTGATTTATTTAGGAGTCACATAACATCATTTTACACAATTTGTACATTCATGTGCATAACTTAACCCCTATCACATAATTAGATTTATGGTTTAGGGTTTAGGGTTTAGGGTTTAGGGTTCATTACAAAGATATTAATTAGTTGACTTGGTAACGATTTATGAGGTAAGTATAATTTAGGGTTTATGGTTTAAGTTTTAGGGTTTATATTTCATTACAAAGACATTAATTAAAATTTGAGGGTAGTTGTATTATAGAATTTTTAATATATTTTTAAAATTTTATAATTATCAATAGTGTATTTTTAATATATTTTTAATAATGTAATTTTAAAAAATCTAAAATTATAATATAGCATTTTTTCGAGCTGCTCATGAGCTTTTCGAGTCAAATATCGAGTAGCTCGTTTCGGCTCGTTAAGAACTCAAGTCGAGCTCGAGCTCGAGTCAAGTCCATTCGATCCGAGTATTTATCAAGCCTTGATCGAGTCGATCTCGGATAGCTCGCGATCTGTCTCTTCTCATTCACAGCCCTAATTATGGGTAAACTGTAAGTTTGATAACTGAATTTTATTATGTTATATTTTATTTCTTATGATTTTTATTTTTTAATTTATTCACTAAAATTTATATATTGAAATTTTTTTAATCACTCGATCATTTTTCTCTAATAATAAAATGATGTGAAATAATCTAATATCAAACAGATCCCATTAAATTGATATTAAATAAAAATAATTAAGATTGAATTTCAATTAGGATTTTAAAATAAAAATTAGTAAATCTCAATCTCAAACTTCAACCCTAACTCAAACCATCATCATCGGTCATTCAAAATGAAATTTGACATGCTTATTAGTATTCATGTGAATTAAACAAAATGAGGGTAAGAAAGTAGGCGTAGTAAATCAAATCTTGGAAATTTTCTCCCTCATTTCGTTCTGTATCTGATCTCATTCTTACTTTTTTTCAAAAATCAAACATTAAAAAAAGATGAAAGTGTAAACCCAGAGGGAGCTAAAGAAGATGGGAGGGGAGTTATCAAGTCTGTAACACCCCCAATTTTCCCCTAAATTAAAACCTTAAAATTTGGGGAATTTTGACCTAAATTCTTAAATTGAGAGTAATGTCCAAATTGAATATTTTAAATGTTTGAAACTTTTACGTGAGTTCTATAAAAGATCAACGACCAACTTTAGAATTTACCCGTTTGCAACCGTCGTCTCAGGGTCCTTTTTTTATGAAACCCGCAAACCAACAACCGTCTCCGTCGCAGCTTTGTTCGGCAATTTATGGCTTTTCTCGGCTGGCGTTCGCGTGGGGAAGGCCTGGCTGGACGGCCGAAGCACTGTCGGGGTCATGTTCGCCGGTCGTGGAGAGGCTTATAACGCCACTGCCGGTTCTGTTTTGGGTATTGTCGCTGCTGTCTTGTGGTGGCCAGCCGTTTAAGGCTACGGCAAGGTCGGCCGTGGCATTCCCGTCCGATGGGGAATACTGCGGGTGAAGTTCGTCGCCGGCAGTCCCATGTTTCCGATCTGGCAGATCACTATATTCGAATCGAACCCACTACCAGCATCCCAAACGATATGAAATTATTTTATTTATTTGTCGCAAATTATTATTTTGTAATCTGGAGTTACCGAAATGAGTTTTGATTTGGACGTAAATTTTGCAAGAAATTTCGAACTGGAAACCAAATTACCACCTCCTTCGCAGTTAACCACAAACTTCGAACCGAACTGTATTTCTCGTTGTAGAGGGTGTGTTTCTATTCGGTACAATATTTGTATTGAATGATTGTTTGCCTGTTTGATTGATTGAGAAATTATTTGAAAGTATGTTTGATTGTGAAAATTGACTATGTTAAACGTGATTCGTATAAATGTCATGTGACATAAGTTGATATGTCAAAATTTAAAAATATATGTGCGTACTAATCATGTGATTGTGTTGAATTATCAGAATCGGAATATATGCTTCAGAAATACAGTTACACGGCCTCTTTTTTAAACCTTGACTTAAACTTGTTTAGTTTACAATGGCGACGACTCCAGTTCCTCAAGATCAATGAAAGCGCACCCTAGAAGAGCATTAGAGCGAAGATTTGCCGTTGCTAAAGCTGAGCTTTTTCAACAACAGAAGAAGAAAAATAATACATTTGTTGAGGAAGATGAAAAAGGAACTCCTAGCAGTATCGTAACTCCCTCCATTTTCTCATCAAAGAAAGGTTTCCCCAAAGTTTTCAGTTATCTTCCCATCCTTTTCTTTATCCTGTTCAATGTTTATTTCGCTAATTTATGTTTCATTTTGGTGTTACATTCAGGAAATTTACCTTTCTCGGGTCCCTCTAGTCAGCAAGGTATTTTCCGTGTTCTAATGTGTTGAGTTAATCGATTGACGAATATGGTCAAGAGGGGGTGAATTGACAATAAAAATTTTGGTGTAAGCTTTTGCAGAAAATTGAAAGAAATTTGCACAGTGATTTAGAGTGGTTCGACTTTCTCAACCAAAGTCTACGTCCACTACCTTAGCTATCCACACTAAGGATTTTCCACAAATTCACTAATTTGTCTTTCTTTTGAGGAAAAAGAGTAACCTTACAAACCTTCAAGAATTATACCCCAAATTCTTGAGAACACTCTCTCCCAAAGAGAACAATACAAATTTGCAAACTTATAAGGAAATCCTCACAAGGTAGATTGTAGGTAGATTGTTTGCACAATTCTAGAACAAAGAAAAGAACACTCAAGAATGAATACAATTGAGCACAATAAGTATTCTTGAAAGCAAAATGAATATTGAATGAAAAATAGGCTTGAAATGCTCAGACTTGAGGTTTGATGCTTTTTTTTATTCTTTCTTGATTCTAGTTGCTTGATGTTTCTTGTTGTTCATCAATGGCTTCTAAGCTTGCTTAAATGCACCTTGAATCACTTCTGAATGTTGGGGATCATTAATGAAGTTATTGTAGCCGTTTATGTGTGAAAACAATAAATATTTCTGCTTGAAGCATAGGGGGAATCGGTACCCATTCATAGGGTATCGGTAGCTATAGTGTAAAATTCAAATATTTCGACCGTTAAATGCCTGAGGGTATCGGTACCTAAGTAGGGGGTATCAATACCATATCATGGGGGTATCGATACCTACTAGGGGTATCGGTACCATCCGAGCATTCTGTTATTTCTCGGAACCAAAATGTTCATAGGGGTATCGGTACCCTATATGGGGGTATCAATACCATACTAAATAAAACTTATTTTTGGCTCGAATATGGCTCGAAATACTTTGTATAAATTATTTCAAAAGTATTTTAAGATTGAAACTTAATTTTACACTTGAGTAAGGATTGAAAAAGACATTTGAAAACTCGGAGTAATATTTTTGATATTCGAAAAAGTTAATCGAATATATATTTTAATTTTCAATATAAAATCTTAAAATTCATTAACACTTAATTTTTTATATCGAAACATCAAAAAGTTTTCAACAATCTCCCCCTTTTTGATATAACAAAACATTTTAGTATTTTTAAGATTTTCTAATTGAAAATTATTTTTGAAAATCAAGATTGAAAATTACTCCCCCTTACTCTAACACTTCCCCCCTTTAAAAAAAACTTTAATATTTTCTCCCCATTTTTGTTAAATCAAAAAGAAGACTAATTTTTTTTTATAAAAAACAAGTTTTTGCCAATTGATTTTAATTAGATAAAGCTTAAGCTGCTAAGATCAAAATCAAGAGAAAGATTAGCCATTAGTTCCATAATCAATATTCATAAATATGTAATGGAAATTGGTCATATATATCTAATGATGCAATAATAATTTAAAAAAAGTTCAAACATTCATAAAACATCCAACAACCAAAGTAAAACAATCCAAAAGTATTCAAAATGTTTTAACAATTCAAAGATCTGTAAACCTAAGTTCAATCCAAACATTTAAAGCAAAGCGAAGTTCAAGCATCCGTAGGAGGATCGAAAGGAGAGAAATGAGCTCGCATAGCTGCCATTTCATGTGAGAGTGCATCAATACGAGCGTTTGTTGCTTAATTGTTCGCATGCATCTCCCGAAGAATTTCCAATTGTTGAGCTCCCGTAGTAGATAAATGGGTCTCAATAGAAGTAAAGCGCGAATCCATGGATGCATATCAGAAATCAAATGTCTCCATAAAAGATTGAAAATAAGGAGGCATTTGATCCATTTGTTGTACTTGCTCTACAGGCTGCTCCGGTACATCTTCATCGTCAGAATGTGCTGGAGGTGCTCGTGAAGAGCTAGCTCCCGGAGTTTGTTCAGCGGATCGAACCCATTCACCGGTTTCCAAATCCTTTGTCCATCCCGATCGAGTTAAGGAAAGGAGATTAATTTGATTTTTGAGTGGAAAGGCAGCATCAAGTCCAACTCTAAGACCGGCTTTAGAAAAGAGATTACTAAGAATACAACCGTAAACAAGAGAAGAACAATGTTTCTTATTAGGAGCAAGGTTTACGGTCTCAACAATCTCGGCAAAAATAATTTCAGGAAGGTTAATTTTTGTTTTGGTTTGGATACACTGTAGCCACCAAAGATCTAAAGCACGAAGGGTAGAGTATTTACCTCCGGATGGTCGAAACCACCAAGAGATCATAAGATGAAGGAAACGATCATGAAGATCTAAAACATTTACACTATCCCCTCTTTTGAATCTAGAACCTACAATTTGTTTTTCATTGGATAAACCATCATTATCTAGACGTAATGCATTAGCTATGTAAACCGGATCAAGAGAGATAAATTGCCCTAGAAGGTAAGAGTGAATTCCTATAGTATGAGATTGATCCTAATTTTTAATACAAATGACATTAGAATAAAATATACGAACAAGTTGATGGTAAACAATTGGTTCTAGTTCAAAGAGCTTGTCAAATTTCCATTCCATAAGAGTAGAAAGATATCGAAAATTAATATCTAACATGGCTTGAAGAGATGTAATTCTTTCTTCCCAAATTTTGTAGGACTCAAAGTATTGAGAGAACCTAAAGAAAAGACTTCTCCTAGGACCGGGTTCATTGAAACAAGAATTACGAATGGTCATATTTGGATCATCGGGATTAGGATTAGGAATTTGAGGAATAGGTGGAGGATTTGGAGGAGAGTTTGGATGTTGGTTAGACCGACTCGAACGACTCGAGGAAGACCTAGGACGTTTTGACATGGTTTGAAAATCGGAACAGAAAGGATAACCTGCATTTATGAAAAACACATGTATGCAAATATATCAATCCCAAAATTCAAATGAGTCCTCAATATTTCAAGGTTCTCTAAAACAATCCTAATGGGCAAAGTTTTGAAACTATTTTCAAAATATTGTTTGAGAATCATAATATGTATAGTGTTCATGAAAACAACATAATTGAATCAAAAACATATGAATGAATCAAATATTTTCGTTTTTTTATGTATTTCGAAATTCAAAGAAAATCTTGAAAAACATTGTGTGTTTTTGACGAAATTTGTTGTAAAATCTAGTTTCTAATCATTAAACAATCAAAGCCCGGTAATTATTTCAAACTAGAACTAATCTAAACTAGTTCTAAGTTCAAAAAAATCAATAAAGTAATAGTTTGGAATAATACCTTGAAAAATCGGATTTGAGTGGAATGTAGTGATGTTTTGCACGTTTTAATGATGCAAGCAGGATTTGGAGTTGAGAAACAAGTTAAATCCGACTAGAAACGAAGATTTTGAGCAAGATTTGAGAGTATGGGTAGATAGAGAGCAAACGGAGGGTATGAGGGTTTAAAGAGTTTGAGAGAATGAAGAAGAAAATAGGGATTTAATACCTAACCCGACAAGGGGTATCGATACCATTAGGGGGTATCGATACTCATTCAAAGAGGGTATCGATACCTATTCAATGGGTATCGATACCTATTCAAAGGGGGTATCGATACCTGTATCAGGGGTATCGATACTCTATGCACATAAATGTCAAAAATCTGTTTTTGAACACTCAAAATGCTAAATTAAACTACTTAAGTGGTATTTGCAACTCATATAACATCAATTAATTATGTTCAATAAAAAAATACTCTTTTAACTGTATTTAAACATAAAGTTAATTTTCACCAAATAACATAAACTCTCCCTAACTAATAGCAAAGAATGCAATTAAAATTTATTATAAGCATTTTTCATTTATTCTTAAAAGTGTTAAAATGATTTTAAACACTAAGTGAAGATAGGTTGGTCAAACCTAATTCTCTCCTAAGTGTCCAAAATCTTTCCTTGTCTAAAGGTTTTGTAAAGATATCCGCTAATTAGTGCAAAGTATCAACAAATTCTAGAACTACATCTTCCTTAGTGACATGGTCTCTAATGAAGTGATGTCTTATTTCAATATGCTTAGTTCTAGATTGTTGGATGGGATTTTTAGTGAGACAAATAGCACTAGTATTGTCACACTTGATAGGAATGGTACCTACTTCAATTCTATAATCAAAAAGTTATTGTTTCATCCATAAAACTTGTGCACAACACCTACCAGCTGAAATGTATTCGGCTTCAGTGGTAGATAATGCAACATAATTTTGTTTCTTTGAAAACCAAGAAATCAACATATTTCCAAGGAATTGGCAAGTACCGGAGGTGCTTTTCCTATCTAATTTGCATTCTCCATAATCCGCATCAGAAAAGGAATGCAAGCTAAAGCTAGAGTCTCTAGGATACCAAAGTCCTAAACTAGGAGTGTCCTTAAGGTATCTAAAGATTCTCTTAACAGCTAGTAAATGTGATTCCTTAGGACATGATTGAAATCTAGCATATAAGCAAACACTAACATAATGTCCGGTCTACTTGCAGTTAGATAAAGCAAAGAGCCAATCATTGACCTATATAATTTAACATCTACACATTTACCTCCTTCATCTAAGTCAAGCTTTGTTGAAGAGCTCATTGGAGTGTCGTGAGGTTTACCATTTTCCTGTCTGAACATTTTGAGCATATCTTTGACGTACTTAGCTTGATTGATGAAGATGCCATCTTTTCTTTGCTTGATTTGGAGTCCCAAGAAAAATGAGAGCTCCCCCATCATGCTCATCTCAAACTCACTTTTCATTAGCTTAGAAAATTCTTGGCAAAGAACATCATTAGTAGAACCAAATATTATATCATCAACATAAATTTGAACTACTAATAAATCTTTACCTTTATGCTTTAAAAACAATGTACTGTCAACCTTCCCTTTTGAAAAACCTTTTTCAATTAAAAAATTTGACAATCTTTCATATCAAGCTCTAAGAGCTTGTTTTAAACCATAAAGCACTTTTGTTAATTTAAGAACATGATCCGGAAATTTTGAATCTTCAAAACCTGGAGGTTGTTCCACATACACTTCTTTCTTTATAAAACCATTTAAAAATGCACTTTTAACATCCATTTTATATAATTTAAATTCATGAAAACATGCAAATGTTAATAACATTCTAATTGCTTCCATCCTAGCTACGGGAGCGTATGTTTCATCATAGTCTATGCCCTCTTCTTGAGTATACCCTTGAGCAACAAGTCTAGCCTTGTTTCTCACTATATTACCACTCTCATCAAGCTTATTCCTAAATACCCATCTAGTACCCATAGTAGATTTATTACTAGGCCTTTCAACTAATGTCCATACTTCTCTCAAATTGATTTAATTCTTCTTGCATAGCCATAATCCAATGTTCATATTTTAATGCTTCTTTAATATTCTTAGGCTCTATGCATGAAATAAATGCAACATAATTACAAATATTTCTAAGAGAAGATCGAGTTGTTACCCCTTTTGATGGATCACCTATAATCTCACCATCCTTGACATAGTTGTACTCTCTTGGATAAGATACTTCCCTTTCTTCAATGGTTGGATTCTCAAGAGGATCATGAGTTACCTCATCTTTTGTTTCTTCCTTTGATGATGGTTCTTCAACGTCATGTCTAACTTCATTTGTATTTATAATACCTACATCATCATTCACACAAGAATCCTTCCTCGGAAGGGGATTATCATCGAAAAAAACATGTATAGACTCTTCTACAACTAAAGTTCTTTTATTAAATACTCGATAAGCTTTAGAATTTAAGGAATAACCCAGAAAAATTCTTTCATCACTTTTAGCATCAAATTTGCCAAGGTTTTCTTTACCGTTATTTAAAACAAAACATTTACATCCAAAAGGATGAAAATAGCTAATGTTAGGCTTTTTATTTTTAAAAATTTCATATGGAGTTTTCTTTAAAATTGGCCTAACCATTACTCGATTTACAATATAACAAGCGGTATTTGTGGCTTCCGCCCAGAAATATTTTGGCAAATTATTTTCACAAAGCATGGTTCTAGTCATTTCTTCTAAAGTTCAATTTTTCCTCTCAACAACTCCATTTTGTTGAGGGGTTCTAGGTGCTGAAAAATTATGGCTAATACCATTAGAATTAAAAAACTCATTAAATCCAAGATTTTCAAATTCAGTGCCATGATCACTTCTAACACTAGTGATAGAGTAACCTTTTTCATTTTGGATTACTTGTGAAAAAGTGATGAAATTTTCTAATGCTTCATCTTTAGTACTTAAGAATAGAACCCAAGTATATCTAGAATATTCATCTACCAAGACAAATGCATATTGTTTTCCACCCAAGCTAGTAGTCCTAGTTGGCCCAAAAAGATCTATATGGATCAAATGTAATACTCTACTAGTTGATACGTCATTAATGGATTTAAAAGAAACTCACTTTTGTTTTCCTTTAGCACAAGCATCACAGATTTTATTATTATCAAATTTAAGCTTAGGCAACCCTCGAACTAAATCACCTTGAATTAGCCGTTGCAAAACACTCATACTAGCATGTCCTAGTCTCCTATGCCATAACCAACTGTCATGTTCATCCTTAGCAACTAGGCACAAATTAGTCATATAAATAGAATCTAAATGCACCATGTATATGTTTCCTATTCTATGACCAACAAGCATAATCCGATTAGATACAATGTCAATGACTTTACAACCATTAATATCAAACATGACATTGAATCCCTTATCAAAAAATTGACTAATACTCAATAGATTATGCTTTAATCCATTCACATATAAAACATTCTTAATTTGTATGGAAGAGGTATTACCAATAGTACCAATACCTTAAATGTGACCTTTTGAATCATCACCCAAAGTCACTTCTCCTCCATTTTTGGCGTTAAGCTCAATGAACCGGCTTTTGTCTCCGGTCATGTGTCTTGAGCATCCACTATCAAGGTACCATGAATTTGAATTTGTTTCCCGTGCCTTGTAGCAATGCTCCTTTTCCTACAAACATAGATTAATTTCTAATTTTTGGTACCCAAATTCTTTTGGGTCCATATTCATTAGTTTCCAAAATCCTAGTCCCCTTAAGTATCCATTTGTGTAGGATATCCTTATCTTTAGTAGTAATGAGCTCTTTAGGAACCCATATACTTCTAACGATTTTTCTATTAGAGGTTCTTTGGGGACCTCTATGATTGTAGTTTTTAAAACTTTTTCTAACAAAGTTGGATTTTGAATTTTCTCTATTTTCAAAACGTTTGTTCCAACTTTATCAAAAGAAGCTTTAAGACCATCAATTTTCTTTTGATGATCATCATTGACCTTTAAAAGTAAATTTTGCAAATCCAAAATTTTCTTTTCAAACTCTTCTAGTTTGATTTGCAAATATTTAATTTTACTTTCAAGATCGTTGTTGGTTTTGGATATGAGTTTATTTTCATTTTTCAATTTTGAAACATCATTTTTATATTTTAAAAACAATTTCTCATAATCCGAAGCCAACCTATTATATTCCTCTAATAGCTCATCATAGGATATATCATCAAAATCAGATGAGTTAGAGGTTACCTTAGAATCTTCCCCGAATGCCATCAAGAAAAAGTTTGCTACTCCTTGTTCCTCTTCATCAGAACCTTCTTCATCGCTCCATGTAGCCACATGAGCCTTGTGCTTATTCTTTGATTGACCCTTTCTCTTCAATTGTGGGCAATCATATTTGACATGCCCCGGCTTTTTGCATTCATAGCAAATGATTGGGTCCTTCTCTTTTGGTTCATTTTTGAGGCCTTCATTTCATTTGAATTTTCTTCCTCGGTAAGGTCTCATCATTTTTCTGAACCGTTTGGCAAACAATGCCATTTCCTCGTCATCGTCATCCGAATCACTCTCATCTTTTGTGGATTTGAGAGCAACTCCAATGTTTTTCTTCTTCTCTTTCTCCTTTAGTGTCCTTCAATCTTATCGAGATCCACCTCATCTTCAAGCATCATTTCATGATTGAGGAGTGAACCGATTAGCTCTTCAAGTGTTAAGGACGTTAGATCCTTAGACTCGATGATTGCCGTCTTCTTTGATTGCCATGATTTTGGAAGGGAGTAAACTAATTTACTCATAAGCTTTTCATTTGAAATGATCTCTCCATATGATTTGAGACCATTGACAATCGTTGAGAATCTATCCGTCATAGCTTTGATATCTTCATTTGGTTTCATCCTGAAATTTTCATAGCTATGCGTTAGAATACTAATTTTAGATTTCTTTACCTCATCGGTACCTTCATGAGTGACTTGAAGTTTGTCCCATATTTCTTTGGCGGTTGTACAAGATGAAACTCTTCCGTATTCATCTGGTCCAAGAGCACAAAATATAATATGGATGGCTTTGGAGTTGAGCTGGAACATTTTTGTCTCTCCTTCACTCCATAATCTTGGATGAGTGAGAGGCTTGAAGTATCCTTCTTCTACGACATTCCATGCTCTCATGTCACTTGCTTGAATGAAGTACATCATTCTATTTTTCCAGTAGGCATAGTTAGCCCCATTGAAGAAAAGAGGCTTGTTGACGGGCATCGAATCGAGATAAGAGTCGAAGTTTGAAGTAGAGGCCATTGATGACTTTGATTATCGATGTAACTCTTCCCGAATCGACTCAAGAGGTGATTAAACCTTCAAATGAGTTAGGCTCTGAAACCAATTGTTGAGTTAATCGATTGACGAATATGACCAAGAGGGGGTGAATTGGCAATAAAAATTTTGGTGGAAGTTTTTGCAGAAAATTGAAAGAAATTTGCACAACGATTTAGAGTGGTTCGACTTTCTCAACCAAAGTCTACGTCCACTACCTTAGCTATCCACACTAAGAATTTTCCACAAATTCACTAATTTGTCTTTCTTTTGAGGACAAAGAGTAACCTTACAAACCCTCAAGAATTATACCCCAAATTCTTGAGAACACTCTCTCCCAAAGAGAACAATACAAATTTGCAAACTTACAAGGAAATCCTCACAAGGTAGATTGTTTGCACAATTCTAGAACAAAGAAAAGAACACTCAAGAATGAATACAATTGAGCACAATAAGTGTTCTTGAAAGCAAAATGAATATTGAATGAAAAATAGGCTTGAAATGCTCAAACTTGAGGTTTGATGCTTTCTCTTTGATTCTCTCTTGATTCTAGTTGCTTGATGTTTCTTGTTGTTGATCAATGGCTTCTAAGCTTGCTTAAATACACCTTGAATCACTTTTGAATGTTGGGGATCATTAATGAAGTTATTGTAGCCGTTTAAGTGTGAAAACAATAAATATTTCTGATTGGAGTGTGGGGGGAATCGGTACCCCTTCATAGGGTATCGGTACATGTAGTGTAAAATTCAAATATTTCGACCATTAAATGCCTGAGGGTATCGGTACCTAAGTAGGGGGTATCGATACCATATCATGGGGGTATCGATACCTACTAGGGGGTATCAGTACCATCCGAGCATTCTGTTATTTCTCAGAACCAAAATGTTCATAGGGGTATCGGTACCCTATATGGGGGTATCGATACCATACTAAATAAAACTTATTTTTGGCTCGAATATGGCTCGAAATACTTTGTAGAAATTGTTTTAAAATTATTTTAAAATTGAAACTTAATTTTACACTTGAGTAAGGATTGAAAAATACATTTGAAAACTCGGAGTAATATTTTTGATATTCGAAAAAGTTAATCGAATATATATTTTAATTTTCAATATAAAATCTTAAAATTCATTAACACTTAATTTGTTATATCGAAACATCAAAAAGTTTTCAACATAATGTTATTGAGGACATTTAAATATGTTATATATCTTGGTTTTTATATGAAATGAATTATAAGTTTATATACAGATGTTGAAGAAAATGGTGAAGTGTATTCCAAACTTTCGGAACCTATACACGAGAATTTGCTATCTACTAATTCCAAGGTAAAATTTTACTATTTGAATAGTGGCATATAAGACTTCATAGTTCACAGATCGAATGGTAATCTTGATGTTTCTTGTCGTAGTTTTCCAACAAAAAAGGAAGCATGGCTGATAAGATATTGCATGAGCTTCTTCAAGGTGGGGATTTAGCTCAAAAATACATGCAAGGATCTAGAAGCATCAAATTTGACAATCGGATCCTTCTTGATAATTTCGTGAAAGGGCGAGTTATGTCTACCGGCTCTCAGATCAGGGCTTTGAAGGCCCACTCTAAGCGCTCTAAAAGACATATGTTGATGAAGCAACTTAAGAAATCAGGAGTACTTAAACTGCCTCAAGATAATCAAAAGTGAGTATTCTATAATGGATATGGTGGCTGCTCTTTTTCCTTATTTTGTTGTAGGATCATCATTATGAACCTTTGTGTCGCATTGTTCTTCACCACGAGGCTAAGTTCAGTAATCAGGATGATCTCTTTCCATTTTTACATCCTTTATATGGAATTAATGTTTTTAGACTTTAATTGGTCATTTCTGGAAAGAGTGAGGATGTTAGAAACTTAGTTATTGTTAACATATGTGTGGACTTTGAGCTTTGTTCCTTAATTTATAAAAGACTAGGATTTTAGTTAATGGAAGTTAAAAAAAATGATATAGCAACAACAGGATTTTAGTTAGTAGTTCTTTGTGAATGTTATGTGTTGATGTTGTTCAATTGTTTAATTTTTTAATGAAAAATATATGTTATGTCTTTAATATTAAGGTTTGATACATTTAAACCAATGCATGAAATGTGGAAAGGCTACATGAGTCAACTTCTTAAAACTACTGGGTAAGACATCATCTCATTGTGCTTATGTTGGTTATTCAGTGTTTTGGAGTTTGAGGGTAGTGATTTTTATCGAACTGTATGATTGTTAAATGAATTTTTTTTGGTTTGATTCTATATTCATTCCATAACTGCAGGAAAAATCTGCTGGTTCAATGTATTATTGGTGCGGATCTACATGGTGCCCTCATTCTAGGTTGGGTTATACTTCACTTCTGGAGCAATGATTCATATTATTCAAGCAACTTAATATGTTTGACTGTTTCTCGGGATGTAAAATTATTTAGACTTTACCCCCTTCAAGCAACAAACTTTATGATGGCAATTGTAGGTATTTGATTGAATAATGTAGAAATCAGAGTAATTCTCTGTATTTTCATATATTTTCAATAGGACATATTACATATTTATATACAAATTATCTCTCTAAAGTTGGAAACACTTAAGAAAGGAAAAATACTAATCCTAGGATGTGATCCCTTAAAATAAGGGATTGTATAAATATATGTACAAAATCCCTTAATTAAAGGAATGATATCAAATCATAACAAATCATATCTCTATAATTCCTACACTCCCCCTCAAGCTGGAGAATATACATTTTATAATCCCAGCTTAATAGGAATTTATTGAAAACAGGCTTTGGCAAAGCCTTAGTAAGAATGTCTGCAACTTGTTCTTCTGAAGGAATGTATGAAAGTGTGATTGTCTTTTTGTTAACTTGATTAGCTATAAAATGCCTATCAATCTCAACATGCTTTGTCCGATCATGTTGAACTGGGTTCTTGGCAATTTGAATAGCAGATTGATTATCACACAAGACTTCAAAGTAATCCTCTTGATTAGTGCCAAGTTCTTTCAGTAGTTTAAGTAGCCAAATTCCTTCGCATATTCCAAATGCTAGTGCTCTGAATTCAGCTTCAGCACTACTTTTTGAAACGACAGATTGTTTCTTACTTCTCCAAGTTGTAAGGTTACCCCAAACAAATGTGCAGTAGCCACTAGTGGATCTCCTTTCAGTAAGGTCTCTGGCCTAACTAGAGTCTGTAAAAATTTTAACAGTTCTGTCTTATGTCTTATTAAACATTAAGTCGTGTCATGGAGTTTTCTTCAAGTACTTGAGAATTCTATTTTCTACTGCTATATGCTCTTCAGTAGGATTAGTCATGTGTTGACTTATCATATTTAAAGGGAAAGGTTATATCTGGCCTTGTTAAGGATAAATAAATTAGTTTCCCAACTAATCTTTGAAATTTCTCTGTCTACTAAGGACCCATCTTCTTTGCTAAATTTCAAGCTTGCCTCCATTGGTGTATCAATAGGCTTACAATCAAGAAAACCAGTTTCTTTGAGTAAATCAAGTACATATTTTCTTTGGTTGATTACAAGTCCTTCTTTTGACCTTGTCACCTCCATTCCTAGGAAATACCTTAGCTTTCCCAAGTCCTTGGTTTCGAATTCCTCATTTAACAACTTCTTCAAATTGCAAATCTCTTCTTCATCATCTCCGATAAGAATTATGTCGTCCACGTACACAATAAGGATAACTTTCTTATTTGTAGAAGTTACCTTGATGAAAAGAGTATGATCGGCGAGGGATTGCTTGTAGCCGTTTTTCATAATGACTTTAGTGAACCTCTCGAACCAAGCTCTGGGTGATTGTTTTAATCCGTATAGAGACTTGTTGAGCTTGCACACCTTGTTACTTCATTCAACAGACTTTAAGCCAGGTGGCAACTTCATATAGACTTCTTCTAGCTTGCCATTAAGAAAAGCATTTTTTACATCAAGTTGGTGTAATTTCCAATCGCAATTTACAGCCAAACTTAGGAGTACTCGAACAGTATTCAGCTTCGCCACAGGTGCAAACGTTTCTGTGAAATCTATCCCATATGTTTGCGTAAAGCCTCTGGCTACTAGTCTAGCTTTGTATCGTTGAATACTACCATTGGAGTTATACTTTACAGCAAAGATCCATTTACATCCAACAGCCTTTTTACCTTGAGGAAGGTCCGTAATGGTCCAAGTAGCATTTTTCTCTAGTGCACAAATTTCCTCTTGAACAACCCTTCTCCATTTTGAATCCTTTAGAGCTTCAGCTATGCTTGTGGGAACCTGTTTTTTTATCCAAGTTTGCTGTAAATGCTTGAAAATACGGCATCAATGAATTATAACCAGCAAATTTTTCAATAGGATGCTTGGTGCACTGTCTAACCCCTTTTCTAATAGCAATAGGGAAGTCATCTAGAGTAGGGGAAGTGGACTTACTGATTTATTCTTCTATTTTGACAGCTGGACCCAAATCCAATTCTCGACAAGCATCAGATTGCAAAACAGCCTCAGGAATATGTTTGATTTTCCTTGTATAGACATGAAGTTGTTTGATTGGTGATGTTTGTGGAAGATTTTGAATGGGAGTAGGTGTGTTTTCAGGAAGGGTGTTTAAAGTAGGTGTGGGTGAAGTAGTGATAGGCACTACAGATGAATCAATGGGAGTAGTTACAGGTGACAAATCTGTAGGTAAAGACAAAATCGGTGGCAATTCTGAAGGTTGAGAATAAAGAGTAGGAGGAGATACTTGATGTGGCTGAAAATCCTTTCATGTCTCCCCCTGAATTTCAGCTTGAGTGAAATAGGGATTCTTCTCATAAAATGTTATATCCATAGTGGTAAAAAATCGTTTAGAAGGAGGATGATAACATTTATAACCCTTCTTAAGTGAAGAATACCCAACCAGTACACACTTTAATGATTTAGGATCTAACTTGGACTTATTAGGAGCAATGTTTTAGATGAAAACAATACAACCAAATATTTTAAGTGGAAGAATGAAGGAGATAGGTTTAAAATGGGGAAAGTATTGCAAAAATATAGATTGAGGTGTTTGAAATTGTAAAACCTTACTAGGCATTCGATTGATTAAATATGTGGCAGTTAATAAGGCTTCCCCCCACAAATATTTTGGAACATTAGTGGTAAATAGAAGAGAACGAGTAACTTCAAGGAGGTGTCTATTTTTTCTTTCGTCAATGCTGTTTTGTTGTGGGGTGTCAACACAAGAACGAATCTGAACTATGCCCTATTCCCTGAAAAACGCACCTAAAGACTTAGCAAAAAATTCACTGCCATTATCAGATTTAAAGAGCTGAATTTTAGACCCAAATTGAGTGAGAACCATGTTATAAAATTGGGTAAAAACACCAGCAGTTTCAGATTTATCTTTTAGAAAATAAGTCCAAGTTATCTTACTGTGATCATCAATGAAAGTGATAAACCACTTACAATTATCAGCATTCTTCACCCGAGAAGGGCCCCAAATATCACTGTGGATCAAAGCAAAAGGGTGAGAAGGCTTATATGTAGAAGGAGAATAAGTTGATTTAGTATGTTTGGCAAGAGAGAAAACTTTGCAAGAAAAAGAATTTGGCCTTTTATGAATGAATAGAGCAGGAAAAACTTTTGCAAGATAGTGGAAACTAGGATGATCTAAACGATAATGCCATAACATAACATTATCAACTTTTTCTAAAGCGGTGAAAGATTTCGAGATTTCGATTTTAGTAGAGGCAAGAAGAATATAGAGACCATTATGCAAGATGGCCTTACCAATCATCTTCTTTGAGTTCAGTGCCTGCAAAGTACAATCAATATCATTAAAAATTGTAGAGCAGTGCAAGTTGGTGGAAAGTTTACTAACGGAAACGAGATTGCAAGCAAGTTTTGGTACGAAGAGGACATTTTTAAGTACAATTTGGTCATTGAGAATAACAGTGCCATGTCCTTCTATTTTGCACAAGGAACCATCAGCCGTTTTGATAGCTTTACCAAAATTTGGGGAAAAATTGCAAAACAAACCCTTATTACCAGTCATATGATCCGTAGCACCAGAATCGAGGATCCAATTAGGGGTCGATTGGGAGGAGAAAAAAACTGTAGCATGAGGTTTACCTTTTGATTCTTTCATGACCAGATTACCTTCTGATTGAGCAACAGAACCAGAAAAATTTTCTGTATTCGAAGTGATCTTCGGAGCAGGAGAAGAAGTTGTGGACATCATCTAGGTTGGAAAGAAACCATAACCTAATCTGATACCATGTAGAAATCAGAGTAATTATCTGTATTTTCATATATTTTCAATAGGACAGATTACATATTTATATACAAATTATCTCTCTAAAGTAGGAAACACTTAAGAAAGGAAAAATACTAATCCTAGGATGTGATCCTTTAAAATAAGGGATTGTATAAATATATGCACAAAATCCCTTAATTAAAGGAATTATATCAAAATAAGCTTCTTTTGCTGGTTCCACACATTTCATATTGTTATGAAAGAACTTATAACCTTTTCTCATTGAAGTAGAAGGATCCCGGAAATACAATAGCCTACCTGAGAAAACCCATCGGAGCCACTATAAGTTCCGCTATAGGTATCCTTTATCAATTCGTTGATCACAATTTCTCTGAGTCAATTCAAAGATAAATTGTGTAGTTGTCAATGCTGTCTTTTTTAAGCCTAAGTACTTCATTTCCCTTTTTATGGAAAGCTTTACTCTAAATAGGGTAACCAAAGAATGCTATTTTGGTTTAGAACATGACCACACACAGGCTTAAATGATGCAATAATTGCTAGTTTTAACTAATGGACTTCATCGGCAAAACATGGGACAATCTCTTCTCAATTTTGTTTAATTTTATCTATTTTGTGGGTGTTTACTGTAATCTTCTTTATTTTCTGATAGTGACCGAGTGCAAGGTAACTAGTTTCACTGGAGTGAGTGGCATTATGATTCGTGAAACTGTGGAAACATTTGGTATTATAACCCGGGACAATAAATTCAAAGGTAATTCAGCCATCGTTTTGAAAGTCGTACTATTTCTGGTATTGCTAATTATAACTTCTATCTGAGTACCATTTATTTTTGCTGTACCTTCACTCACAGTCACTTACATATAGTCGTGTGTGTGTGTATATGTTGCTCCGAAATAAATGTACATAGGTTTCTCATCTGTTGCCTGTTTATATGTGTATACACACATAGATATGCATGCTAGTAGTAACTTAGTGTTGAAGCCATCTTTTAGAAATTGATATGTGAATTACATTTGGTCGATTTAGGATTTCTAATTTCTTGTCTTCGTACTCTCTGTCCATATAGCTTGCAATGAGAATAATGACAACCATTCAATGTGTGCTCTTTGCAGTTGTGCCCAAAAAGTTATCAATCTTCATATTCCAAGTTGAATGCTGGAAAATTGCATTACAAGGTGATAAACTCACTTCGAGAAATTTGGGTTTGTGATGTTTTGATAATTTATATCCCATTTTAGGCTTTCCTTGTTTACTCAAGTTCAGATAGGATACTGTTAAAGTAACTCTTTTTTAATCATATTGATATCAAGTATATTAAAAAGAAGAGAGTTGTGAATCCGAGACAATGTACAGTTCCTTCATAGTTATAAAATTTAGAGAAAGTTGCTCTTCTGCATGCCATCTAAAATATATGATGGAATTGTTAGGTTTCTAAACATTTTCTTAATGATATTTGTAGTTGCATGGAAATGAATATTTTTGGCTACTCTTTCACTGCACGCCTGTTGATTACTATATCCATAATGATTGTTGAGCAATCTCTTTGATTACAAGCTTTCCCTGTGAAAACATCATCCATATTTGAGCGTTGATTTGATAGGAAATAAGTCACTATTACATGTCATTATATATTGGTACACTACCGTCAGTGTCAGATAAGATCTCATGTCTTCTTTTTGGGTAGGGAGGAATAGTTAGTTGCTCTTGTCATTGTTTTGTGGTGTTTAATGGAAAACTGAACAAAACGTAGTTTCTCATGGTGTTTGTTTTAGTTCCTTTGTTGTCCGAAGGGAATGATGAAAAAAAAATCACAAGCAATAGATTACTATTTGTTGCTTTCATTGCAAACAAAGCAAAGGCTTAAAGCATCACATAAATTTATATTTGGTTCAAAAAAATATTTTATGTTTTTGTTTTTTATTTTTATTTTCATAAAATAGTTTCCATTGTCAGTTTTTTGAAAATTAGAAAACATATTTTGGTTAATATAAATGAAAATATAAATTTAAAAATAGAATAGTAAAAATATATTTGGAATCTAATTTTTTAGAATATAGATGAATAAATATTTATTAAATAATTAAATTAAAATATAATTATTAAAAAATTCATCACATGAATTAACATGAGAGTTGTGCAAATATAAAACAATAAAGTTGATAAGAAATTTCATAACAAAAACCTTTTTTTTATAACAAGAATATGGTGTTAATACATACTGAACATCAATTAAATTAAAATAATACACTAAAAAGTATTTTTGTAAGGAAAAGCACACAAAAATGCCATTAAAATAAAAAAATATGTTAAGTGGTATTTAATATCCTCATTTTTTGGGGGACTAGTGTAGCCTTGAATTTTTCTTGGACTAAATGTGATATTTAAATTGAGATAAAAATCTATCTAATCTTTTAACTAAAAAAATCAAATCGTTTACAAAGCTTATATGATAATCTACAATATTGATGTGATATTTAACGGTGTTGTTGTGGCAATAACGATGGAAGATGATGTAGTAAATGATTTTAATTGATTTTCTTTGACTAAGTTTGAAGGCCTAATTGATTTTTTTAAAAAAGCTTGAGACTCAATTAATCTTTTAGAACAATTAAGATATTATTTAAATTTAAATTTAAAATATAAACAATTATCAAGATATTAAAAAATTCAATTTAAGGATCATAGTGAGTATAAGAAAGTTTAGAGATCATATTGACATTTTTGTAAGAGTGTGAGGGTTTTGGATACCATTAAATTAAAAAACAAATATGATTTGAACTCGCTTTAAGTTAAAAATTTAGGTAATGTGTTTTTCTATTTTCAAATTTTCAAAACAATTTTAGTGAAAATGAAAATATATTTTTTTTATGTTTTCGTATTTTCACTTATTTTTTTCATTTTCTAATTTTTACAATTAAACACGTTTTCTTCAATGTTTTCTATTTTTTAAAAAAAAAATTAAAAAGAAAATAACCTATACTTTTTACAATAAAAAAGACCATAAAATCTAAATTATATGATAATTTTAAATTTTCAAAAGATAATTGTCTCACTTATTCACCTCGATCCACCCCGCCCTTGAAAAGAGGAAGATGGCTTCCTTTCATACCTTGCCGTCCTTTTATACCTTTTTTCCTGTCACTACCATTTGGTACATATAGTGCGAGGAAGTACATGACATAAATTTCGAAGGTATGCATGTGGCCATTGTGGAACAATATTATGGGGCACTTGAATTTCATTTTAAGAAATCTACTTGGTAGATGGAAATTAGAAATTGTTTAAGAATTCCTGATTTTGCTTTTTTTGTGGATAACTTTAACACTGTATGTTATTTATTACACCGCTAGTTGAGTGTTTAGGTTTCACAAACAAGAGAAAAATCACCAGCATAATAATAATACCAGAGAGTAAAATCAGCATTATAATAATAATACCTGAAAGAGTCAAAGCAGCATAATAATAATACCTGAGAGAGTAAAATCAGCATCAAATAAATAATAATATTGTATATTGTACTCGAACCTTGCATCGTTCGGTTATAAAAATAGGATGAATAGGAACACACCAAGTTTCCTAAATAACATCATCCCCCATAACTCAATTCTACAATAATACTATTCCAACATTTACACCATTTCTTTGATGACTGAATCTATCCCAAATAACCGATATGCAAACATTACTGGAAAAAGGGTAACAATAGCTTACACGATAAGACGATGTGAACCATCCAAAATATCAGCTTTTCACATCAGAATACTTTGGTACTGATTGTTTCGGCATTGAAACATGACAATGCGTTTTCGATGATGCAGTTGGCTTAAGTAGGATTTGTCTCTCACTCATTGCCTTGCATCAGAAGCCATCATATGTGCCTGTGACTACAAAAGTTGAAGGATATTAGAACTGACCAACCTAAACCTTATTCCTTCTTAAAATTTAAGGATCATTTAACAGCAGTAAACAGGAGGTTTAATGATAGAAGACAATACCATATAGCAACAAAAAATCATCACAAGTAGAAAATAGAAGCTAAACTCTTTGAAGACATCAATTTCAAGCATGTGAATCTGAGCATATTTCAAGCTAGTATAGCATTGTTTTTTAAAAGTTATTTTCAAAAGATAAAATATCTATTTTAGACATGATGTTATAAAATAAAAAATAAAAAAGTTAATAGATAAAATTACGGCAATTAGATAACTTAGCCTTGGATTGGTTTATACTTTGTATACTCAGTTTCAAATGCACATTTGGCTAGAAAATTTATCTGTTACGCATTTCTTATTGCTTAAAAACCTGTTTCGGCTTGCAAAGTTGTCAATTAGCAATAAACTCATTTCTCTTGGTAGGTCTTAACTTTGCACTCTAGATATTCCGATTACACACTATGCAAGTCCTTCACCATTTACACAAGATATAGATTTCATATAGGATGATCATATAAAGTACGAATGTGTTGGTGTGATTTGATCTATTATACAATCAAGGAAGCAACTACAGCCAGATAATGCTGTCAATTAAAAGAATTGGCATCATTTAGATCAGTTCTACTTATGTCAATAGGGAAATACATGATATCACTAATAGTGCTTAGAATAACAGTTCAATTAAATAGATAAAGGCATTTAGAGTGATCCATCGCATCAATGTTTGATTGTGCCAATGGATAAACTCATTTTCGTGCTGTTCATTATCAAGATATGTGGCAAGCATTTAGCAAATAAAAATGACATCCGGTTGTACCTTGAAAGGCTAAGTTATGATTGTTGGATAAACCATAATTAATGCTCCTTATGAAGAAAATATGTAAGGAGTCATTAGTGTGTTTATGCATTAATATGTTCCATGACATAGAGAAAAAGATCAAGAGAGATTACTTGAGATTGTGAATTCCCATAATAAACACCTTGTGAGAACGAACCTTGATGTGCAAGCTGCGAGAATTAATTACCAAAAGACGAAAATGTCAAAGTTTGTCCAGTTTACCAGATGGATCAGAAAATCAGATGGCATGGTATTTATAGGAACGAACATCATTCAAGAACAAAAAGAAACAAAAAAGGTGCAATGCACGAAACCAAGACTAAAATCATTGTAGAAGTAAATAAAACTTATACACAACCTGGGCATTTGAGCCTGGTTGGACTTCTTTCTTAGCAAATGTATCTCCACCTTTTGCTGAACCCTTTGTATCACCCTATCAAACAACATAGTTTGGAAACAATAGCCATATCAGAGAGGTAGCTTGGAGGGGACAAGTGTAAGGTATAAAATATCAAAAAAACAGGAGCTTGATTTGTAGAAGAATATTGACTCACCTCCATCTGCAAGGACCCAATTGACCATCCCAAGAAAAAGAAAAAAGAAAAAATCCATCAGTTCAGTAGGACTCATTGAAAAATTAGCAATCAAAGCCAATAACAGAAGTCAGAGGGCACGCAATTATTTAAAACCAGGGCCCCTTTGGTTTCATAGAAATTGCAAGAAAGGAAAAAAGAACAAGACCTGGAAATCTCACATATTTCAACATCCAGAAGCCAAATTACTTTCCCATTATTTTCAGATGGACTATGATCATATAAACCAGGAATTTGATGAGAAGCATTAGCTATTAAACTATATAAATGAAAACAGATTAGTTAACTGCGTACATGGAAATTTCACATATTTCACCATCCACCATTATTTTCAGATGGACCATGGTCATATAAATCAGCATTTGATGATGGGATGAATTACCTATAAAAACTATATGCATGGAAATCGATTAGTTAACCATATACTTGGAAATCTCACATATTTCATCATCCATAAGCCAAATTTCCTTCCGATTATTTTTAGATGGATTATTATAATATACACCAGCATTTGATGAAATGTGTTAACTATTAAACTATATACTCGGAAATTGAATAGTTAAATAAGCAAGTGGCAAGCCCATTTATGAAGTTATCCAATTATGTCCGTGACATATAGACTAATAATCAATTTAATTTACTTTCATCAGAAAATAAAGATTCAAAATAACAATAAGGAAGAAAATAAAATCAAATAACAAAGAAAGTTTTTCATTAATCACCTCTCTATATTTGGCAAGATAAATCTTAAGTGGATCGATGTAATCTTCAAACCCTAACGTTGCCATAGCCCAGAGCAGATCATCCCCATTAATTGTCTTCCTCTTCTCCTTCTGACACTTGTCGCTGGCTCTGAACATAAATTTATGACCAATTTTACAATTATCAATAAATTTCACATGATGAAACTAATAAACTCTTCTAAAAAGTCAATAAAATCATAAAGTAAATAAAATATTGAAAAAAAGGGGGGAACAAGCAAAGAATCGAACTCGCTAGTGATGAAGCTGATGAACTCCGATACTGTCTCCTGTACTGTCTCCTTAGCGTCTTTAGCTACCTTGGCGTTAGCAGGAAGAGCTTTCTTCATGATACGGCTAATGTTAGCGATAGGAAGGAATCTCTCCTGTTCTCGCACGTTGTTGGATCTGGGGCTCTGCTCGCCGCCGCTGTCGTGACTTCCGCCGCCAGAAGTCGCTGGTACCTGTGCCGCCGCCATAGAGAGGATCCTATCTCCAACAAATCAGAGGAAATCATAATAAAATCTATAATTCCTAAACAGAAAACCTAATAAAAGGAAGAGGGAGATTAACCTGGGGCGGATTAAATGAATAAAAAGAGAATTAAAAAAGGAAAAGGGCGGGAGTGAGAGAGATTGGATTTCAAGGGACAATCGGACGTTGGAGAAGAAAGCAAAGATGAGTCGACTCAGTTCAGATCTGATGAGAGACCGAGGTTTTATCAACACCGTTCGTTGGGTTTCCCCTTTTTTATTTTTTTTAAAAATATTTAATTTAAATAATATTGAAGGTGTTCCTCTTCGTTCTGGGAGGCACTCCTTTTAGGTCCTACTCTGCTCTCCCATTTGACCACTTGTTAGGTGAATTTAACCTAACTCGAATAAATGGGCGATTTTCTCAACAAAAAAAAAATCACCCTGATCAATTTTATTTACATGTCAGATAATCTTTTATCTTTATTTATCGATCTTAACACCCTTTGCAGGAATGCGCGATACGTTGATGTAGAGTCACGTTGGATAAGACGCGACTTATGTCCCGTGTATTGTAAAAACGTGTAAAAAAATTTGTGTTATTTTTGTAAATATTTTTAATAGTGCCTAATATATAATTAATTTCTATTAAGGTGATATTTTTGTAAAAATATCAACTTTATTTATTTATTTTTTGTGTGAAAAAACTTTCTACATTAAAATCTTTAAGTATTCTTTTGTAAATTATTTTATAATTCGACAAATTTTGATTTTTACATGAAATTACACAATACATATAATCTAGTATAGAAAAACTTTGAGGGTAAGTATTTTAAAATATGAATAATTTTATAAAAGTTTTATAACTAATATTGTTTTTATAAAATGATAATGATGATGATGATAAATATTTTATAATTTAAAAAATGATAAATTTCATATATTTTTGAAAAATTTATTGACTTTAAAATTAATTGTTTAAAAATATAAAATATTAAAATAAACATTTAATTACAATTGACTTTTGCAATAAAAGCCACTCTACTTTTGATTTTTCTGTGTGCGTGTGGACAACAATATTCAACAGAAAAGAATTGAAAAAGAAAAGAGTTCATACTCGGGAGAAAATGATGAGACAAAACAGATTTTGTGAAGCTTGAGTAGAAAATATAAACTCTTTGATCGGAGGTTTATTCGTTGTATAATTGAGTTGATATTTACACAGAAGTTAGACGATTTTGAGTTATTGACTTTGTACAATCGAATTTTCGTTCGATTCATGTAGCTTTTCACATCTACGACTGTTTAACAATCATAAACTTGAGTTTAGGTCTTGAGGATGGAGTATTTTAAAATTAATTGTTTAAAAATATAAAAATATTAAAATAAATTTTTAATTACAATTGAGGGATCAAATGAATTATTATTCATTAATTATTATTTTTTAACAACAATTAATAATGTTTATTTATTTTTTAATAAAATTAAAATTTAATATTTATTTAATATTTTTTAAAATTAATATTAGAAAGAATATTTTAAATAAAGAGGTGATATTTTTTAGCTTTACATTCTATTTTTATTGAATTTTATTCATTTTTAATTCTTTTTATAGCATTTTTATTGATTTTTAAAAAAATGAATAATAATTCATTTGATTTCTCAATTGTAATTAAAAGTTTATTTTAATATTTTTATATTTTTAAACAATTAATTTTAAAAGTCAATAAATATTATTAACTGTTGTTAAAAATAATATCACATAAAAAATAAATAAATAAAGTTGGTGTTTTTATGCAAATATCACCCTAACAACAATTAATTATATATTATGCACTATTTTAAAAATATTTATAAAAATAACACCCACTTTTACAAAAAAAATGTTAGATTGGTAAATAAAGATGAAAGAGTGTCTGATAGGTAAATAAAGTTGGTAATGGTGATTTTTGGGGAAAATTGCCAATCAAATGCCCACTTTTGTTTTGATTATCTATATATATCAAAGCTTATTTTATAAACTACCATAATAGAATTGGAATCTCCTATGTGCAAGGCATGGAAGAGTATAAATTTTATTGAAAAAAATCACCCCAAAAAAATAAAAAATACCTATTTAGCACCCGTTCTTGAAAATTTTCCAAATTAACATTCTTTTTAACAAAATAAGGGGGAAAGCGCATCGTGTGAAACACACCTTATTGATGTGTACCAAAGGCACGCTTCAAGGGATGCACTTTACACTAAGGTGGCGGCCACGATGGAAGGTGCGTTGTTGGGGAAGCGCTTTCGTGGGATTTTTGCGCCAACTAAGAGGCGCATTGTCGGGGGTGCGTCTTCCCTTCCACCTACGACTCTCGCCCGCCGTTCCCGCTTGTTGTTCCAGCTCGATGTTCCCGCTCGAGTATATACATACTTGTATATACTCTTTGTAGACATATCAAGCACTTCGGTGGATGAAGTGGTTAGCTGTGTGTTCACTTTAATCTTAGAAAGTTCAAGATTCGTTCACTTATCTAAGAGAAAAATTACACATCATCACTATGTATTAGTTTCAGATACGTTCACTAGTGCTTAGGCAGCTAATGTTGCTATTGCTCTTCTCAAGTTTCAAACTCAAAACTTTTGTTTTTCAAAGAATTCTTTCGCATTAGTGGATGAATGTTCGTAATGCTCATGTAAGTATGGCCATAGCATCATACATTGAGAGGAAATATCCCTTGTGAAGGGTATTTAAAGAGTCTCATCTTCCCTCCTTTGTTAAATGTTGATAGACAACTCCTCTGTATGCGTGCGACACTGCCACAGTCGTCCGGTCGACTCGGCTTGATTCAGTTTGGTGTCGACTATCTGTAGACACCCGTTTTTGTTTGGGTTCTAATTTATTATTATTATTATTATTATTATTATTATTATTATTATTACTATTATTATTATTATTATTATTTTATTTTATATTAATTACATATTTTGCAGGGGCAATTTGAATCCCAAATACAACAAGACAGCCCAAAGGACTCAACCCAACAGACCCAGACCCAGTTATAACCAGCTGACCCGAAGCCCAAGATCCGACCCGATTCAACTAGGGTTTCAAAATCCTAGCTCCTAACCAGCTGCCGCCGACAAGAGGTTAGGCCGTCCGATCTCGTGCGTTGGGGTGCACTCGCCGACTTTTCAACTTCCCAGTCTTGTGAGCACGCCGTCGTCATCATCAGAGATCTACAACGCCACTGCCGTCAGTAACACAGGGTAAATAGTGACAGAAAACAACCCTATCTGTCACAATAATCACAAATTCTGAAAAATCCATTTTAAAATGCCATAAATCCCAAAAAAATAGGAATTTTACCAACTCAAATCAGGAAAAAAATCAAATGCCTACCCATAGATTTCATCATTTCTACCCGAAGTACACCATTAAAAACAACATGCGACAACCATTTTTCAAAAACAAAGGAGGGAGAAACATTCGGAGAGAAAAACCAGATTCAAACAAAAAAGAACATAAAAGAAAGAAAAAAATGTTCGAAGAAAAAACAAAACCCATATTTTTAGGAAGATCTAGCCACCTTTGCTTTGTCAGAGTGATCATACATCGATGTTGAAAGTAAATCTTTTTCCTTTTGGGTTTGGGGTCTTAGTTTTTAGATTAGTGTACATGTGAGGATTGGATGTAAGGGCTCGATTGTAAGGGGTTGGCTTTTAAGAGGATAACCCGAGCTTTTTAACCTGCTGACACCAATTTACGGTGGCCGGATGGGGTTGTAGGTCTCATTATCCTCGGCGGCGGGAAGAGGAAGGGTTAAGGGAAAGAGCTTTGTTGTTTTAGGAAATGAAATATGATATTTTAGGGGAAATGCTAGCTGGTTTGGCCATATATTAGACGTAGAACGACGTTGTATGGTGGGGGTTTAGGGTACCATGCATTCAACATATGGGATATTTATATTCGGGGTCCCCAAACTTTTGTAACAGTTGTACTTTGGTCACCAATGAAACTTTAGCTTTATTTTACTTTGAGTTTTTATCTTGTTTTACAATATAATTTCGTCCTTGTTTGTTTTTAAATCTTTTTATGGTCTTATTCAAGTTCGGTCATAGTGTTTTAGTTTATTTATATTTAAGTAATGCATGTTTTATATAGTTCATTCCAGTCTTTATTTATTTATTTATTTATTATTATTGTGTTTTTGATTAAATTATTGTTGGTGGCATGATGTTTTATCTCTTTTTATTTTGGTCATGCATGTTGCTTTGGGATTTAATTCTATTTTAGTACTCATATTACATGATATTTGCACATTAGTTATGATTTTTAATATGTTTATTATTATACCTCTTAAGTTACTATTATTGTTATTTAATCCTTATTTACTAGCTGTAGACACACTTTTTTGACTGAATTAAAAGAATGCATATATATATATATATATATATATATATTATTTTATGTATATATATTATATGTATTATTATTATTATTAACAAACATTTTTATTATTTATTTACAGGCCCATAACCATTACAAAAATAACCCAACAGTGGGCGACCCAGCAACTGCACACGTAGCCCATGACTCAAGCTTAGAGCCCCGAACCAAATCCATTTGTGCTTGACCCGAACCGGTCCAGCTAGGGTTTGCAACCCTAGCTCCTCGTCATCTTCAGCGCTGCATGTCCCCTCCACGAAGACTCCTCGTGACCAACCATGCCACACAGCCGATTTTCACGGCAACCATTACCAAGTCAACAAGAGAAACAAAGTTAGTTTCATGAGGACTCTCAACAAACTGAAACTAGAGCAATTTTAGTACAACTAGGATTCCTAAAAATAGGACCTCTTGGTACTATAAATCAATGTAATCACCATCGTATTTTGGGGGAGGATTTTTACAGTGGAAATACAAGAAATTTCACTACGAAATACAAGCTATTTTTTTACACACATACATACAAAATACTCAAGTGAAACATGATTACACACAAGATCACAGAGGAGAGATACGATAGATGACACGAAAATATTAGCAAAAAACGAGAGAAGCAACACCGGATATCCAAGCTTTGTAAAAAGTTTCGAATAAAAATAAAGGTAAAACCTTTTTCATACCTTTGCGTCTTTGCTTGCATGTAGGCTAAAATGCTTGGTTTCCTCTTCATTTTCGATTCGGAAAACACAAAACAAAACGCTTTTTGGCTTATGAACGAAGTGAGACCCTTATTTTCGAAACTATTTTCTTAGATCTACTCTTCTCCAAAGCTCAATTTTAAAAAAAAA